GAGTCTGACACTGAGAAGGACACTGGGAAGGCTGGCATCACCTTTTGAACAGAAATTCCTTTRCTGCAGCAAAACGAATAGTGAGAAGCATCTGGCCAGGAGATACCATGCTGTTCTGTTTAATCCCAGAGCACCAAGGAGGTCTTGCTGGATCAGAGTGACGCCCTCTGAAGCGCTGTGCCAAAAGCACAGAAAACATTGGGAATGAAGGCAGCAGCGGTGTCTCTTGGGAAAACACAGGAACAATAAATGAATCACATGCTTGTATGAGTGGTGGCAAAGAGCAGCATAGCAGGCAGCAGCCTGCTGCTCCGCAGCATCCCAAAGCATCCCCTGGCCCTGCAAGAGGTCACACAGGCAAGACCCTGCCAGCTCCCAAATGCCAGAAACAGCACTGCCATAACTGCGAGTTTAACTCCACTGAGACCTCATCACACCTTTATTTTTKTAGGTGAAAAGCACATCCCATTTCCTCTCTGCACCCCACATCAGAGCTGCCCCTTTGGTGTCTGGTTCCCTTCCCCCGAGGATGTGCAGGAAGCTCCCAGAGGACGGCATCTGAGCAGTTCAGTATGCAGCCAGCGCCAAGCCTCAGGCACTSCTCTGTCTGATGAAATAATTTCACAATGTGAAGATCCTTGCAGCTGAAATTGAAAAGTTATTTATTTCTCCTCCAAAAGGAGAAATAAATATCTCACTGTGGGGGCTGTTTGTCCTTTGGGGCAGGAATCTCACTCTTGCCAGCTTCTGTTTCCCTACATGCTGTCTGGGAGCAAAGAGATGCTCTGGCATGGATGAGCAGAGATGCTCTCCTGCCCACAGCTTCCCTCTGCAGGGCAGGGACACCAAGGGGCAGAGGTCAGGCACTGGGCTGAGCTATTCCTCTTTGTGGGACATGGGAATCACAGCAGTGCTGCCAAGAGCACTGGGCAGCAATGCAGTGGTTGCTTCTCCACACTCACCCCCTGAGGTATTGAACTGCCATGCTAGGAACCAGAGCTGAGATGTCCTGCCTGCTCCCTGCCGGCTCCAGGGGTAACAATCATCCTTACCCAAAGGGACTGTGAAGCTTGTACCTGTCCCCAGGTGCTCCAGAGGGATCACGGCATACAGTGTCCTTCCCTCTCGCAGGAGTCAGCATGTCCTCTGCAAGGGTGCTGGTGGGCTCTGCTGGGCTCTGCAGAGCCCCTCAATAAGCAGTTTTCTCTGAACATTTATGGGAATGTTCATCCTGCTTACTCCAGCCRGAACATGAGACCAATTTAAAATCACACAGGGAATGGTTTTAGCACTATTCTCAGTTTTTACTGCCCTCTCGCTTATTAAGGGTACACTATTTCCAAGCATGGACTAATCTTGCTCAGAGTGCCATCTGCAAGTGGTCATCATTGCCTTGGGTCTGTGCTCAGTGMCTTGCAGCATCCCATCCCAACAGGCCCTTGGAAAGGTTTCTGTGAATATTAAACCTGCTTCTACTGTGCTAGAAGAAAGTAACCTTAGAGCAGGTGAGAGGTGAAGAAGGTGTCTAGGGCCAGTCTTTTCTCCATGCCAGCAAAATYGCTTTCCCACTCCTCAGAGACACATTCAGAAAACTGACTTGGCAGAGACGTGACTTAGACCAAACTGATATTGCATGGGATGATTTTTCAAGCTCTGGGAAACTGGGAATCTGGGAAATACTGCAGGAAATCCTTGTGGCTGGTGCACACAGATTTCTTATTTTATTCAGATGTTACCCATTTGCTTRGATCCTGTGCTAAGCAGGACTGCTTGCTTTGGCATGGATAGGGTAGTCCTGCTTCAGGACTGGTCTTCCTATTTGCCAGAATAATAAAAAATAGCATTCCACAGTAACAATACAKCTGTTCAGAAATGTGGATGCTGCTGCATTGCTGCCAGGCTTCAAGCCTTGAGGGAAYAGCTCATGCCATGACCAGCAGTATTGGTGTGCCGATGGGGCCRAGTTTCCACTAGAGGGTTGTAGTGTTGTACGGAAGCAGATGCCGTTACTGTGGCAGAAATATTGAATGGGTTCCAGGCCTTTGTCAGCAGATCAGAAGCAACCTGCGATATCCCGGCTTCCAGCAGTCTCCGCAGCCTCTGATGTACACAGCCTGCAAGCTGCGAGGGGGCTGGTGCCTGAGCAATCTGCTTCCCTGCCTTCCCTGGGAGCCTCTGGTGCTAATATGACTCAGCACCTACAGTACAGATAGGGACATAGAGAGATAAGGAGAGAGAGAGAGAGAGATAGAGAGATAGATAATAGATAGATAGATAGATAGATAGATAGATAGATAGATAGATAGATAGATAGATAGATAGATAGATAATGGATGGATAGATAGATAGATAGATAGATAGATAGATAGATAGATAGATAGATGGATAGATAGATAGATAGATAGATAGATAGATAGATAGATAGATAGATAGATAGATAGATAGATAGATAGATAGATAATAGATGGATGGGTAGATAGATAAATAGATAGATGGTAAATAAACTCGCTGTGCCTATGTGTATGCACACATGGACAGAACATTTGTTTGTGCACCTGGGATGAGTCCATAACTAAACCATGTCCCTCTGTAACRCATCTACACAGATTTTAAATACCTCCAGGGACGGTGACTCCACCACTTCCCTGGGCAGCCTGTTCCAATATCTAACCACCCTTTCAGTGAAGAAATGTTACCTAATATTCAATCTAGACCTCCTCTGGTGCAACTTGAGGCTCTTCCCTCTCGTCCCATTGCTTAGTGTTTGGGAGAAGAGAGCTTTCAGGTAGTTGTAGAAAGTGCTAAGGTGTCCAGTGCCTCATCTGTGCTGAGTACAGGAGGATGATCACTTCCCTGGTCCTGCTGCTGACCAGCAGGACTGGTCATACCCAGCTGTGGCTCCAGGTCAGGAGCTGCTGTGCCTTTGCCTTTGCCTTTGCGCCAAACATGGGTCCTGGCGCCTGGAGCTTGCAAACCAGCAGGGACTGCCACTTCTGCCACCAACCATGTCCCCACATCTAGTGCAACTCAGTTGGTCCCCAGAGGTTCTTGTGTATGTGACCCTAGCACGCATCCGTACATCTTTTACAGTGATGTTTGTATTTTTGCATGTTTATCAGTAAAATAGTAAAATCAGACTGGTTTGGGATGGACAGGACCTTTAAAGGTCATCTAGTCCACCCCCCCTGCTAAGAGCCTGTGTRTGCAGCTTTCTGAGTAGCTGCTGTGCTAAGTGCTGACAACTGTACCAGCAAGATCAGGGTGGTTTTGCTGCTGAAAACAAAAAATGGAGCTGTCTAACACTGTGGGAAAAGCCCAAATATCACTGACGTTGTCTTCCTTTCATGGAAAGAGTGGGAAGGCAAATGCAACCACAAGGCTTGTCTGTAACATGGAAAACACAGCGTGACATTCACCAAAAATTTACATAGTGATCAATTTATGTACCACCTGTTTGTCTGATACTACCACTATTTCCATTTACAGATAAATGGAACATGGATTTTGCCTACATTCTAATCTTTCTTGTTGTCAGAAAGGTTTTGAGGAAGGAAGTAGGAGATATTCTTGCAAAATGAAACATTTCAGCAAAAGATGGGCTTTAGTTCCTCTGGAAGATGATGTAATCACACCTAAGTAAAAAACAACCAATCAATCAACAGAGAATCATAGAACATCTTGAGTTGGAAAGGACCCACAAGGAGCATCAAGTCCAATGGAGAGGCAGTAGAATGCTGTGATAGATTATCTGACCCAAAATAGACATTTGAATCCTCTGTTCTTTGTAACTGACTGGTGGAGAGCCTCTTCTCATGCTAATGGGGAAAAGAAGGAAGTAAAGGGAGCTGCTTCTTGATATAGAGGACAAAAAGCCACCAGGGGAGACTCAACCATCTGGGGAGACCTGCAAGGTGGGCACGTAGAGTTGGGAGAGTCAGCTCCCACAACTGATGGTTTCCATCAACAAGTCTCAGACCTCAGGGAGAACAAACAGGCCTGAGAGCAAGGACTGGTGCTGGTGAAGCTTCTCCTGCTCTGAACTGGCTAAAGGTGGTGGCAGCATGAGCCTTTGTTGATCCCAGGAATGCAGAAGAGCTCAGTAGTTCCAGACCACAGTGGCTCCCCCTCTCCTCCTGGGGTGCTGCCATCTCTCGCTGGATTAACACCATGGGGCMGAAGAGCAGGGAGTCTCTACTAAAGATGGGCAGCTGGAACGAGCTATGGAGAGAGCTAAATGTGGTGTGAAGAGGGTTTGGGGTGTGTCATGAGAAGGATGGGAGGGAGAGAACATGAGTGCCTTACCTGGGAATGAGGTGTCTCAGCAGCCATGGATTAGAAGGCTAGATTAATACTTTTTAATTACCCATTCTAACCAGTGAGAACATTTATAACYATCACACAATAAATATGTCTATTACTAATTTTTCACATCTAATATTCCAGTAGAAGACCAAWAAAAGAGAAAAATATGCATATGAATGGCCAGCTGCAGAGGAGAGCAGCCTTGCACAWAACACCTCTGCCCCATCAGACAGCCCCAAAACCGTCCAGCCTCGGTGCAGTACAAAGGCAGATGGCTTTCCGTGCCTACTTTTGTGAACAGCTCTGCAAACCCTCTTCTCACGTAGCGACGAGTCTCATTCCCTCCCGAAGGAGTCATAAAATACAGCTTTATCCATCCTGCATGCGGCAACCAGACAGGCTTAAGAGCTTAAGCGCTCGTGGGGCAGCAATGTTTAAACAGATTGCACCGACCCGTTTGGTGACCACCGCTCACCAAAACTCTCCTCGGCATGGGCTGGTGGGACACGCTATCAGGGTTGGAGGCAGGACACCGAATGTGCCCACCGAGGGGGAATTGATCAGCTCGGTCCTCTAGGGGCCGTGCCCAGGGCGATCCGCAGCTCGCACGAAGAGCCTGGCGCTCCTGCCCGCGCTCCGCTCAACCGGCCACTGCTGAGCCACGGAGCTCTGGGATCGTGCACCGGGCAAAGAAGGGGGCAGCAGGCAGGTTTCATCACTTTAGATTGTTTTATTAAACAAAGCCTATCAAAAGGAACCCAGCCCCACCGGCAACACACCCGGTCCTCACTGAAGCACCACTCCTTTTCCCAGCTCTGGGAGAACAAAGAGGCTGARGTGCAAATGTGATCAGTGCGGCGAGTGTTACGCGCATGAATATTCATCAAGGAAGATCGGAGCGGGGCCAGTTTGCCAGCGTCCTGCAACAGCGAGAGCTTGGGCATCAACAAGGGGGAGGAAAAGGGCAGGTGAAGAGGCTGGTCCATGCCTTTGTACGGGCAGGGGCATGTGGGATGCTGGTGAAAGGCTGTTCTTGTGTCCGAGGGTAACTGAGGGAACCTTCAGTCAGGAATAACACTGAGAGGATCCAGGGTTTTGGGACAAAAGCTACATACAACACAGTTATGCAGCAAGCAAACGCTGTCTCTTCTAGTCATGCAATCAGTTTGCAAGCTGCACTTTAGGGAAAAAGCTCTAAAGAATTAACTGAAAGTTGYTACCATTCATTGGGTGTGCCAAGTGCTCATGATAAATCTCTTCCCTGAAGAAAAAAAGCAAGGTTAAATCAAACTACAGAGCATGTCACATGAGATTTACAGAAATGTCACTGAGTTATGGGTTTGTCTCTTAAACAGTGGGATTATGGCAGCTTCTGGGCAGTGAAGTGTGCTGATCCCTCAGTGCTGTGGGGYGTTAGGGTATGAGAAGCAACGGAGAAATCGCGCTGGTTATCGTCTTAATGTGTATTTCAAAGTCACTTCCGAAAAAGAAGACGAGATAGTAATTGAGTATTCCAGCCACAGACATGAGGAACAGGAACAAAATGATCCGCTTTCCAAACAAGTAACCAGGAATGCTGAAGAAACAGAAACAGGGGAGAGCAATTTGTTAATGTGCATCACGTCACCTGGGAGCCCTCAGACTCTGCTGTTGAGACCTCGGGGGCTGAGAGAGAGGGGGCAAATTTCTTCTGTCTTGCATTGCCCAGTGAGGACTTGAATGTCATTTTCAGGATCCATTTGGGTCTGGATTTGGCCATCTGCTCTCAGCTTAGGCTGCTGCTTACAAAAGGGTGTATTCAGAGGGACTTGAATGTGTTCTCAGCCACCACAGGCTGTGGGACAACTCTGCTCCTCATGCGTGTAATTTGCTTTATTGATATAAATAAAATACTAATATAAAAAGACTATCTTGTGCAAATAGTGGCACAAACATGCAAACCTGTGTTTGCAGAGGGTCCTGTAAGCAGGACGGCTGCATATCTGGTATGTCCCACAGCTACCCCAAAAGAGAGAGCCTTCCCTGCATCACCCAATACCAGCGGCTGTTGCACCATGAGCCAGCAGCTGTGCCTGTAAAAGTGGCAGTGTCTGGCTGTGCTGCCAACACGTTCTGGRTTTTGTAAAGAGGCTCTGCAAGTCCTTACCTCTGAGTCCGCTCCCCGAGGTAGCCCACAAAGTACTTCTGCCTCACAAACAAGTACATCAGGCCAGCAAAGGCAGCAGGAGCTGGGTAAAGGATAAAACAGCATTAAAAACACCAGGCCTCACTGCAGGTCTCACTGGTCTTTTCTGCTGCCTGAGCTGGAATGGGAAATGGGAATCTGCACCCTTGGATATGGGGCAAGCACTGGAACTGGGGTGGAGACCTCTGCGTGGGAAAGAGAGCACTCGCCTTGCCCTCATTCCAGCTTTTCTGAAGACTTTCTGGGTGTAATCCTGCCCACAACTGTGCCCACTGCACAGAACAAAACACCATCATGCCAGTACCTAAAAGGAGCTTAGAAGAAAGCTGGAAAGGGACTTTTTACAAGGACGTGAACTCACAGGACAAGGGGAAATGGCTTGAACTTGAAAGAGAGCAGGTTTAGGTTGTTCTTCACTGTGAGAGTGATGAGGCACTGGCACAGGTTTCTCAAGAAGTTGTAGATGCCCCATTCCCGGAAGGGTTCAAGGCCAGCTTGGATAGGGCTTCAAGCAAATTGGTATAGTGAAAGGTGTCGCCATCTCTGGCAAGGAAGCTGGAACGAGATGATCTTTGAGATCTCTTCCAACCCAAACCRTCCTATGGTTTTGTGAAATGCAGTGTGGATCATACCAGGCCCAGGTAAGAGAGTGACGGCTCAGGCACTGTCCTCTCCAGAAACAGAAGGCAGTTAGTAAATGTACTTCACTAGGAGGAGGTAGAGAATTCACTATGGTCCAATACTAACTTCTGAGTATATAAAAAGGGGCTTTCCCCAATAATTCTAGCTTTTCCCACAACTGCAGACAAAACCTCTTCTTCTTGTGGTCAGGGAACTTTTTTTTTCCAGAAAGAATAGCCATAGACTCCTGGCAAGTACTCATCTTAATGTTAGATAAACTCACATTGCATTGAAAGGGATCACAATTAGAAATGCAGGTCAGTAGCCCTGAGTTGCCCTCAGCACTGGGGAGAGCTGGGAATTTAATAAATTGAGCTCATTTGCTGTCCCAAAAGCAAATAATGTGGCATCTAGTGACCAACTGCTAAACCCTTCACCCAAAACAAAGGGAATTCATCCATAATGCCAGTATGGGAAATGTCCCTGGCCCAGACTACCTTGACTCACATCTGGGAACACATCAGTTGGCATAAGCCATGCCAAGAGTGTGCTGCTACTCAAGCAGCGTGCTTGAGGAGGGTAAGAGGATGGGAGAGTAAGAGAGGCTCCCCTGCTGCAGGAGGGTC